GAACACTTAATTGCTTGGTAGCTGATCATTACCCCTCTTTAGAAGGAAATTACTCTGATCCATAAGTGTTTTACTTATAGGCTTCTTTCTTACCCCACTACGATGTCACCCAGGATATTCTGGCACTGTCCTATTTCACACAGTCAAAGAAGGTGTAAGGGCCTCAGATTAATGCGTTTAACCCATTCCTTTCCATCTTGCCACAGTCCTGCATCCTTTTATCCTGTTCTCCTCCGCCATCACTCTGCATTGCAAGAATCTGGGCCTGCCACGAAAAAGCCACGCTGACTGTAATCACCACTGTGCCTGCCAGGATGGTCAGAATAATTTCAATTGCAGAAAAGCGTGTGCATTCAGAAGAAAAGAAGCAAGAACTGAACCATGAGTGCAACAGGGCAGGCCAGGAAGAGCCTATGACTCAGTGTTGTGTATTTATTGTTTTCAGTGGGCAGCTGGAGGGGGGTACGTGGAAGTGGGGGTGCAGGTTCTCCCTATGGAAGACCCAAGTGCAATGTGTCCACCGGGGTGTGTGTGTGTGTGTGTGTGTGAAGAAGGTGGCGGGGTGGAGGGGGGGGCACTACACTGATCAGAGTCCTAGGAAGAAATGTGAGGAGCAGTTGAAAGATGCAACCATAAAAGATGTGTCTTTCCCAAACATGGAAGAAACTAATAATGAATCTTTTGAATACTATGCCCAAGTAAGTCCCACCCGAACCATTCAAGGGTGGAAGTTTAATGCTAAGTAAATTCGCCCAGAATTAATTCCAGCCCTGCTGATCGGTACCTTCCCCCAAGTAAGGGTGTATAGGATTTTTTGTCTATTTGTTTGTTTTTTGTGTCTGAACAAGTTTGTGCCTGTTTTGCTTGCAGAACTGTGCCCCCCTCCCCGAAAAGAAAAGAAAAGAAAAGGGGGGGAGGTCTTCCTGAGAAAGCTGTTAATTGCTCTCTCGTTTTAATTGTTCCCCAGAAGGCATTTTCCCTCTTCAGGAATATCGCCCCCTCCTCCTAAATATCAATAACGTGTGTGCACGACAGACAACTACTTGCAAATGGGCTTCGGGATCATTAGCATATATTTGCATAATGCCGCCATGAAACAAATGCCTTAAGCAGGGAGCAAACAAAAACAGGAATTCGAGAGAGTTGATTTACTAAATGTGCCGTGAAGTGAAATTAAGGGGAAAAAATGAAAGTGTGTGTGGGGGGAAAATACGTGGAAAACCGAAGAGACTCCCGCCTTACTAGCCCGACCGGTTCGAAGGCTGCATCGCATCCCGAATAACAGGTATTTGGGCGCCGCGGGCCGAGCGCCCGCCCTCGGCCCCTGCCGCCCGCCCGCCCTGCGCAGGTCCAGGGCCAGAGCGGCCCACCGAGGCCGGAGCTGCCGTCTGTTGGCCCGATCCGGCCAGCGAGGACGACCCGTCAGCTCCACGGGGCGAGCTCGGGGAGAGGGCTGACAAGCGCGCAAGCCTAGGCAAACCTACTCAGAAGTAAGTCGCATTGCGCTCAATCGGCTTCTTCCCAGGTAAGCGGATGTAGGAGCGCGGCGGGCGCACCTCTGGCTCGGCAACAGGCGCGATTGCACCGGTCCGCGCACCGTAGCTCCGGGCCCCTTGGAAACCTCGTTCGTGGCCCGGTGGGTCCTGGCAGCGAGGGTGGGGATCCTGGGTTTAAATTCGTCAGGCCACAAGCCCGGTTTGCTGACCTCCTCAACTATCTTCTTCCTTGTCCATCCAACAAAGAGCCTTGCAGGCACCTTCAAGGCTGGGAAATGCATGACCGCAGGCGTACGCGCAGCAAATGCGTTGATTTTTAAGACGTCTCAAATCTGTTGCTTCCTGCGCAACAGACGAACACAGTCACCTTTCTGGAAATTCTCCATAACTCATTGTTTGCTCTCGTCATTTACAGAGGTTGCCCTTAAAAAAATTTCCTCCCTACTCATCACCCATACGTTTGTCCATCTAGCCAAATATCTACGATTTGCAGTTCTGAATGACAGGGGAATTGATCAGCGATATATATTCGAATTAAGATGTACGAGATCGATGACAGATCTATATCACGCTGTGCTTAACAAGAGCTGGACACGGAGGCCAGCCCGAGGCACCGCGTAGCCCGTCGAAGAATCAGATTACAGGCGTTCAGATAAAGCTCAAGACATTTCCCCGCTTAAACCGAACAAAAATCCTGTCGGAAAGACACAGTGCTTATTTTAATCAAAAACTTTCGCGGGGACCCAGGTAGGGATGTAAACAAAACAAACGTTTCTGTGGCTTCCCCCTCAAAGGGGATGCAGAATGTATCTTCAAAACGGTGTGAAAGCAGTGTTACCGCTTACCAAAGTGTATGTGTGCGTTCGTGTTTGAGGCTGGGCAAATATGTAAAGCTGCAATCCTAAGCACACTTACCAGGGAGTAAGAGCCATGGGTCTTACTTCCGAGTAAACGTCAACCCAGTTGCGCAAGAAGAAAGGGCAACTTTGAAGCAGGAGCGCTGATCAATACCTGGGTGGAAGAAGCTGTTGCAGAAGTCGGTGGAAAGCAGCGAGAGTTGAGCAAGCGACTGGCTAAGGGGTCTCACCTGCCTAAGGGATAGTAAGGAAGTTGGTGGCGGAGGTTTTCACAAGCTTCCGCGCAGAAAGCGCTTTCCCCCGCCCCTTTCCCTCTTGCTTTCCAGGCTAAAAGTAGGGAAATGTCTTCCTGCATGTATATTACAGGGGAGCAGAAACTGACTTGGGAGCCTTTCCACATCGTCTCCGTCTGCTTCGAATTAGGCTCAAAACTACTGAAGACACGCTTTGCCAAAAGTCCGCCCTTGCCACTTAGGGCGGCGTGTGGAACCAAGCGTTAGCGCCGCCGGAAAGCTTTTCAGCGCCATTGAAAGTACAACCTCTGTGCATTATGGAAATAGCTACTTCCAGTCTTTGCTGCGGGACTTGCTCCTGCTGCTGCGACTAAGAACTGTTCTGCCTACCATTTGGAAAGAAAGCAGGATGGAAACTTTCTCCCCCTTTTATTTTCAGAGCTGGAAAGTCCGTTTCCACAGCAGCATTTTTAAAAATTCTGTTTTACACAATGGGCAGATTTTTCTCCTTCCATTTCTTAATTCGGTTACATGGCAATAAGTCCCATGAATTTCAACATAATTTAGTTTAATCTATGGGAATTCATGAATGTGCATCAAACGCTTTTAAAAAGGGATCAGGGCCATCCATCTCTCCCGCGCTTTGATTGGATGAGGATGAGGATTTCCTTAGCATCCTACAGGAAACCTCTCTCCTTTTGTAGTACACCTGTGCCTCCATTAAGTTAGGTCAGCCAAGGGGCATCCTTTTAATGGCGTGGCAACACATAGCTGACAAAAATTTCAGATTTTTTAGCCTGTCCAATAATATAGTCCGTAAACAGGATCAGAAGGTTGGTTTTTTTAATGGAGATGTCTGGTGGCAAAACCTTCTTTTAACTATCTTTTCACAACCTGAGGATTCATTCCATAAACCACGTTTTTCTTTAAAAAGATCACGGGTTGATCTATTATTAGGTTTCACTGAAATGGGAAAGCATTGAAGAGGCAAAGTGGACGTCTCCTAGGAGACTCCATCATTTGAGATGAAAAATTTCGAAACTATTCATTCCTGTCCTGGATACAGCAGCACGGACCTTTATTCCGTTATCTAGGAAAATGAATCATTGCAGTTCTGCAAAGTCCCGAATTAACCCTCATAAAACATCTGTTGCAGCTTTGGCTACTGCAATCAAATCTCAGAATTTAAGGTAGCGCCTATCATTTATTCCAGAGCCAGTATAACTAGCAAAATATATGTCAGACCAAACTGTCTCCTTCAGTTTCACTTCCTTCCAATCAAAACTTTTGTTCTAAGCACATGCGCTTGGAACTAAACGTCACAGATAGCAATGGGCCATACAAATGTCCAGGGAAATACATTGCACCTTATCCTAAGCCTGTCAGCTCAGCATTGGTTACCGGGGGCCTTAATGCCACGTTGTCTGTTTAGGATTGCAGCCTCTGTGCTCGAAGACCCTCACCTTTCAATCTAATCCTAACGGTGTTCAATGCAGTGCACGCCCAATCTAGAGAATAGGCATCCGCACTGCAGCCCCAGGTGCAATATCCTCCCCATATCAGTGCGGTCGAATTAAAGGTCCTTCGAAATCGGAATACACTCTTTGTACTACATGTGGGGTGCACTTCGGAGGCAGGCTATGCAGTAGGCAGCGCCCGTGGATTCTCGCCGCAACGGTAATTGGCCCCGAGCGCACTGCCGTCCCCGAAGCAGCGCCCCGTGGTAAACACGAGGCTCGGGACGGCGCCCGGACGCAGCCACCCTCACAGCGGAGGGTGCGGCGGTTTGGGCGCGAGAGCGTGGCGCTGGCTCGCAGCCTTAAAACAAACAGAGGGCTCCGTTTGATTGTCGGGGGGGGCGAGAAGAGGAGCTGTAAATTATCCTCTCGCCAGGTGGCTGAGAAGCGCCAGCGCCGCCCGCTTCGCTGTGTGCGGGAGCCGCGCTGCATCGCCGACACCCGCCAAACGAGCGCGCCGTCATGTTTTCCCTTGGCACGCTGCTCGCTTGGCACTCCTTCGGCGGCTGGGCGCTAACTTTCTTTTCTTCCTCCTCCTCCTCTCGTTCTCCAAGTGCAACTTTTGACGAGGAGGAGGGAGAGAGCAGGGAGCGCGGCGGAGTGAGAAAAAGAAGGGGGAAGGGGAGGAAAGAAAAGCGGGCAGGAGCGCGAGGGCGGTTCCCTGCTGAGCGCCCGGCCTGAATGGGAGCCAATCGCGCTGCCCTGGCCTCTGCCAATCATCGGTCTCCCTCCAATCCCGCCCGCGCACATTTCCAAACTCTGGTTCCCAACTGCGCCGCTCAAATGTGCCGAGCGCTCTGCCAATCGCTGGAGGCCAGAGCGGGGAGAGGATGGAATGAGCAGCCGAGTTGGGAAGCGGAGTAGACAAAAGAAGTTAAAGAGCCGCTTAATCGCTCCATGTTTGGCAAGGCGGCGGTGCTGGTGACGGCGGCGGCGGCGGCGGCGGCACCAACAGCAGCGGCGGCTAGCAGGGGGAGGAAGGCCGCAGCCCCCGCGGAGCTGGCCCAGGCGCGGGCTGCCCCAGTGCGTCTGGATGGGCAGCTGGGCTGCGGCGCCATGGAGCCCGCGCTGAGTTGCAAGAGAAGCCCCAGCCTACGCTTGGCCGACCTGGCTGCCTTGCACGTTGGCGGCGGCGGCGGCGGCGGCAGCGCCACCAGCGGTGGCGGCTTCCACCACTTGCACTCGGGGGACGTGGGCTCCTCGGACCCGGCTGCTGCTGCCCCCTTCGGGCCCGAGCACGTGGCGGCGGCGGCGGGGGCGCTCAAGCTCAGCCCGGCCGGCCCCGAAGCAACTTTCGCCGCCGCCGCCGCCTCCGCCGCGCAGCCGGCCGGCATCGGAGCTGGCGCCAACGGCGCGGCGCCCGCCTCTGCCAGCCATCCCTACGCGGCGGCGGGAAGGGAGCTGGCGCTGAGGCGGGAACATGGCGCGCGGGCCGAGCAGCACCCGGCGGCCGCCAGCTCGCCCATGTTTATCTCCTCGGCGGGCACCTACGGCGCCGGGGGAGACCCGCACGCCGCCGTCTTTCCAGGGCTGCACGAGCACCCCGCGGGGCCCCCCGGCGGCCACCACCCGCTGAACGGGCAGATGCGCCTGGGGCTGGCCGTGGCGGCCGCCGCCGCCGCCGCCGAGTTTTACGGCCGCGTCGAGCCCTTCCGCCCTTCGTCTGCGGCCGCCGCCGCCTCCGAAGCGTCCTACGGCCCCGCGCCGCACGGCTACCCGGTCAACCTGGCGGCGGCGGCGGCCGCCCTGCAGCAGCACCAGCAGCAGCACCAGCACCAGCAGCAGCAGCCCTCGCACGCGCCCGCACATGCGCAGCACGCGCCCCATCACCACCACCACCACCACCACCACCACCACGCGGGCGCCGCCGCCGCCGCCTTCCTGCGCTACATGCGGCAGCCCATCAAGCAGGAGCTCATCTGCAAGTGGATCGAGGCCGAGGCGCCGGGCGGCGCGCCGCCCTGCTCCAAGACGTACAGCACCATGCACGAGCTGGTCAACCACGTCACGGTGGAGCACGTCGGGGGGCCCGAGCAGAGCAGCCACGTGTGCTTCTGGGAGGAGTGTCCCCGGCAAGGGAAGCCCTTCAAGGCCAAGTACAAGCTCATCAACCACATCCGCGTGCACACGGGCGAGAAGCCCTTCCCCTGCCCGTTCCCGGGGTGCGGCAAGGTCTTCGCCCGGTCGGAGAACCTCAAGATCCACAAGCGAACTCATACAGGTGGGTGGCAGCGGCTGAGGCGGACGGCCCTGCCTCTGGCTGCCGCGGCTGAGGCGGACGGCCCTGCCTCTGGCTGCAGCGTCCTTCCCTGCCCGGCTCTGGGCTCTTTTCTGTCCTCTCGCCGCCGCCTCCTTTTCTTCCTCCCTCCCTTCCTTCCTCTTTCTCCTACGTACGCTCAGACATGTGACTTTTGTCATGAATAAGTAATTTCTTCAGCGCGATCGCTTCCAGACTGCAGCAAGCCAGAGAGCCTCTCTTGGTAGCATCCAATGGGTCCGCGTGTCTGTGCGTGCGTTTTTGGGTCTGGGTTTGGTATAGGCGAGACGATCTCGGTCACAGCGCCCACTGCGGCTGTGGGGAGAGCAAGCGAGCTTTCCAGTTTCACAGAATTGTTCAGTGGGCAGAGGAAGAGTGTGTGACTGAGTGGCAAAAAAGATCATACAAGTCCCAAAAGGCGTCGCCCTCTGCCCTGCAGGAACTGGAAGGAAAGCACCCCTGCCCTCCATACTGACGCTTTTTTCCGTTCCCAGTTCAATTCAGATTGGGTTCTGTCTCTCCCGTCTGTTTGATTTCTTCGTGAGCTTGAACGAAGGAAAAGGGGGGGGGGGAGGTCACTGTCTCCCGACTGGAGAAAGAAGAGAGAGAGATGTTGTTGAGTGACCAGAGCTGGGGGGGCCCTCTTCAAATGAGGTCACCAATGTTTACTGCTGGCGCTCTGCGAGATGCGCCGCCCTTGGAGGTATCCCTGCCACTCACGCACTCTCCGCGCTTCTGGGGTAGAAATCTCAAACGGCTGTTTTCTTTCCCATTTGTTGGTTTAAATATGTGTTTGGACTGAAGAGGACACTTCATTGCGCTTCCCAACCGCTGAAACGGTGCCTTAAGAGCGAGTGGGAAAAAGCGACGCGTCGGGTGTGCCTTTGCGTACGACGGAGCATCTCGTCATACTTCCCTTTTCAATAGAGTTTTGTTTATGGCGTTGTATCTTTTACAGCTTTGATTTGCAACTGGCCGTTTGGCTTAACTTAAAAGGCAATCGGGATTTATAGTTGCGTGTAGACAGATATTATCCACCGGAGGCTGTTTATAGGGAAGCGGGGCAGGACAGGGCAGGAGGGGGCTTTACCTAATTGTTTTCATGATTTATTGTGTGTTGTAGCAAAAGGGTGGGAGGCAGACGAGGAGCACCGCGCTATTCAGACGGCAAGGCGAAGGGCCCCTGGCGACAAGAGCTATCGATTTTTAGACGGGGAATCTGTCGGCCTAAACCCATCTGTGCGCGCACTCCCCCCCCCCGCCCCGCCCGCAGCCCTCTCAGCGCCCTGTGGAGCGGGGAGCGGTCCTGCGTTTGTTTCGCGGGCAAAGTGTGTGCGGTGTTGGCTTGGCAACTGCTCTAAAGGGCGGCGGGATCGCTGGGAAGCTCCTTCTGACCCGAAGCGAAATGCAAGCGGGCGGATGGGTGGGTCCTGCGTTGCTTGACCTCTGGACGAAGCAAGGCGGCCCTGGCAGTTCCCAGCGCGCTGAGCCGCCACTCGCCCTTGCCTTCGCACTCATTTTGCCGTGAAGCCACCCCGATTGTGGCCCTTTCCTCCCCTCGTTGCTACTCTCGCGTGCTCGTCCGGATCCCAAGGCTCCCGTTGCTGGGAGGATCCTAAGGGCAGGTCCACAGCGTGGAGTGGAGGAGGGAGTAGAAGCGGGGACCGTTCCCGGGTCCTTGCGCAGAAGCTCCAGCGAGGGCTCCGGGGCATGAGCAAGCGAGGAGTCCCGTGAAGCGCAGAAAACGGCAGTTGAGCGGCTGCTGGAATAAACACGCACGTGCCACAGTTTGCCCTGCAGGGCCTCGCAGAAGATTCGCCCGCCTTTGCCAGTGCATTGTGGTGACACCCGCTCACGCCTGTTCGTGACACACCCGTGGCGGGCAGAGCGACACGAATCCACAGAAACGCGAGGAAGCCGGCCCCTTGCCGGCGCCTTGCCGCTTCTTCCCTCCCTCCCTTCCAGGCGCGCACTTCCCTCGGCTCAGGCGGAGGTGCAGCCGTGGCTCGCTGATCCACGAGCTCGAGTGGAAACCAGCCCCGGGACCCCGCGAAGCCTCGCTTCCCGCGTCGCCGCCGCAGGATGAGCTCGTCTCTCTTGCCATCTGCCGGCAACTGAGCCGGAGCTAGGAGAAAGAGGCTGGAGTCTGGGGCGCTGCGCGGCAGCCAGGCGCTTCGTGTGCAGGAGACACGAGCGGCTCTTGACTTGCACTCGCGTGGTCTCCAGAAGGAGGAGGAGGAGGACGCCGCTAGGCGCTGCGCGGCATCCACCCGGGCCTCACTGATCCGCTCCGGCAATCGAGGGGCGCGCCGGCCATTAAGACCGCGCGCAGGCACGGGCGAGCAGGCGAGCGTGCGCCTCGCCTCCCGGGGAGCAGCCTCGCCTCGCCTCGCCTCGCCTCGCCCCGCCGCGCCTTCCTGCCGGAGGATGAGCTGCGTGCGCTCCGGACCGGGGGGCGGGGGGAGCGCTGCCTTGGTCCGCGCTCCCGTTTTGTAGTGCTTGCGGTCCTTTCCGGGCGATGCATGGCTTGCTACAAGTCGGGCGCTCGACCCTCTTCACCCGAGCAAGCCAGACGCTTCGTAGTCGGGCAGAGAAAGCGAGCTTTGCGGCCAGGCCTTTCCGCTGCGAGAAGCGCCACTCTGGCGCCGAGCCTGCGGGAGCCGCGGCAAGAGCCGCGCATCTCCCGGCCTGAGAGGGCCCGTCTCCGCCGGGACAAACTGGCGGGAGCCTTTCGTCCGAGAGGGAGCCAGGAAAACCACCGAGGTGGCCTGGGCGGCTCGCGTCGAGGCCCTCGGTCCCAGCAGCCAGGCCTCAACCCTTGAAACGCAGGAGGAGATGTGATTCTCGCCCCCACCCGAGGAGCAATGGCGGTTCCCCTGGAAAACTGGCAATTCGGGCTAAACTCTCTGACAGCTCGCTATTTCCCATAAATAAGCGAATAAACAAGAAGCAACTTTTTACTGCTAGCTGAGAATATTTCAGCAAAGGCATAATGCTGGACCTCCAGAGCCATCTTATTTCCAAGTACAGCCACATAGGAGCAAGTCCCATTGAGTTCAACAGTTGCTTCCTGTGCGGTCAAGAGGATTGGCCTGGAAGATCGCAACTTTTTCTCAGAGTGTTTCTATCTTGTAGCATGTTGTGAGAAATATTTCAGAGGTTTACAGCTCCAGTCCAGTTTGTGTGTTTGCTGTGAAGTAACTAAATTACGAACAAGTATTTGCAGGTAAGTGTGCATAGGCTTCTGGATTCTTCAGAAAGGAGCTCCAAGGCTTCCCTATTTCTGGAGCTGTTTTTTCATTAAAGCAAGAGCTGTGTGAACTCAAACAACAATCTAGCCTGGAATCCATATAGGGTGAAAAGAGAATTAGTTGCACAGGAAGACAGCTGCCATAAATTAAACCTCCTACATTTTTCAACAAGGTAGTGGGGCATGCGTGAGAAGGACACCTTTCTACCGGTCATAGCCATGAAGGTTTCAGTCCTGGTATCTTCCCTACTAAGGAGTAAGCCCTGTTGAATGATGTGGTACTTACTTACTTCTAAGCAAGCATGCCATTCTAGATGAAAGACCTGTGTGAAATTTTTCCTTGACTGGAAGACTTGCCTTAAAAGAAGGAATGCAAACCCGATATACTTAAATGTCAATAAAATACAATACATAGCTTCTTTGGTTGGTTTTTTAATGTGGGTTTTAGCCTCATTTTTGCATCAGGGAAATTGCAGTGTGTGAGATGTGTTTGTTTGTTTAATGCATATTTTCCAAAATGGATTAGCCCATTTCCTCAACCCCCTCTACTATGCCATGGCAACAGGAAATACTACTGTCCCCCCCCCCCGCCCTTGCTTCCAGACTCTTTAGAAAAGTGTTCTCACTGGCCACAGAAATGTCTGTGTTACAAACCCTAGCGTTGCATTACACCTTCAAGCTGGTCAAGCTTAAGGGTGTAGCAGCGGAAAGCTGCTGGAGGAATTTCATACCCACATTCATTCTCGAGCTGTTCATTAAAATGAAACAGATTCTCGGTAGATTTCCCAGCATAATCTACACCCGAGGAAAGAGAGCTCACTCAGGCAGTGCACTGCTTGCCTTTGTTGGGGTGTGTTGCTCTTGGAACAGTTCGGTTTTCCAATAATGGGGAGGCTGCAAAGCAAAGCATGGCGGAGAGAGGCCCCCTCCCCGCATGATCCGCTGATGTTTTTTTAAAAAAGGAAGAATGAAAGAAAGTGAAAAGAGCAATGTGTATAAACAGGTGTTACTTTTATTTGACCCCCCCCCCTTTCTGGGAGAAGAACAATCTTCTTCTGTCAACCATTGGGAAGGGATTATGGTAGTATGAGTTATGTCAGACACAAAGCTATCCCTCTTTATGGTCGTGTAAGCCCCCCCCCCACTCTAATTCATGGTTTACATTTTTCATTTGCAAGAGAAATATGAACTGGGGATAATGGGAGATATTTCCATTGTCTAGGATATGTGTACCTGAAAGTCCTGTTGTGTCCACAGTTTAGGAAATAGTTCTTTTCAGTTTGAACTGTATTTGGGAGTTAATCTAAACCTACCCACACCTTCTTTGTATCTTTGTAGCCAGTCTGTTTTCAGGATTGATAACGAACTCTCAGCCCTCAAAGCTGGGATTATGGTGGGATGGTGTTGGACCCTGGGCTGGAATCATATTTCTCTACTTTACAGGAGATGCCATCCTCTCTAGGCCTTGTTTCTCTTGCATCCCCCTTTGTATTTGGTTTGACAGGTCAGTGCAAAAGATTTGGAATGTCTTCCTTTCTTTTCACAAGGAAGTTAATTATGGATTTTTTTCTCTTTCAGGGGAGAAGCCTTTTAAATGTGAGTTTGATGGCTGTGACAGGAAGTTTGCCAATAGCAGTGACAGAAAGAAACACTCTCACGTGCACACAAGTGACAAGCCATATTTCTGCAAAGTCAGAGGCTGTGATAAGTCCTACACACACCCAAGCTCTCTGCGCAAACACATGAAGATCCACTGCAAATCCCCACCGCCTTCTCCTACCCCAGGATCCCATGGCTACCAGACCACTGGGACACCTTTGGGTGCCCCACTGTCCCCTCTCCAGGACTCAGGCAGGGGACGCTCGGCCAACATTTCTCCTCAGGTCACAAATCTCAACGAATGGTATGTCTGCCAGGCCAGTGGGGCATCCAACCATCTCCATACACCATCTAGTAATGCCACATCTTCCGAGGAGGAAGAGGAGGAAGAGGAAGAGACTTATAGGAACTCTGAGACAAGAACTATTCATTAGAAGTGGGAGGGAGAGAGAACTTTGGAGATGGCACAAACACATGCCATCTTAGTTGACTTGGGCTATTTATTCAGTATATGAAACCCTATGGCGTTTGTACATGTAACTAATTTAATTAAGACATCGGACTTGCCTCTTTTTTATTATTATTTTATTAAAAGAATGAATCTTTTAAAAATGCATCAAACCAGACTGCAACAGTGACTTCATCTTTTCCCAAGTCTTAAAGAAGATGCCAGAGGAGTTGTTCAATGCATTGTTTGGTTTGCAATTTATATACTGCCAATTTGAGAGTTCTGTACAATGGTTTCCCCAGAATAAAACCAGAATGTGGCTTATGAATGTAACATGAAAGCTAATGGGCTTTCTCTTGGCAAGAGTTTGCCCACCCATTTCCAAAAGGTATGTACTTCTAGGCCTCTGTGTCACAACAAACACCTGTGAAACTGCCAATTGATTCCTTGCATCCAGACACAGTGTATGTACAATTCACTCCCTTTGAAACTGTAGTCTTTGTATTTGACTAAGATTTCAAAACTGAATTCTGAAACATAGACATTTGGTTATAGTATGCAACACACTAAAACCAATGTTAAAACTCTCATCATTCTAAACATAAGGGCAGACCCCTAACAAATCAATACCAAATATGTTTACATGGAAGATAGGTTCAGATAGGAGTGAGTTTTAAATGGAACTCATTCCATGTAAATATGGTTGGGCAGGAGTCAGAGTCCTAGCTGACAGAATTTCACAAGCATCATTACGTAGTTTTATTGATATTTCTTCTTTTGGCCACCTAACCCCAAACATGTATGTTTAGATGTAGCTTGTATTGATTTCAGTGTTGCTTATTTCCTAGTAAGTATACTTAAGAATAAATATGTTTAATATTTCTAATAATTTTAAAAATCTTCCTAAACTCTAACACTGAAACTGGAGGAAAATTAAAACAGCTGCTACTTGTTAAAATGAATGCAGTGATTATTACTGAGATTTAAACACACACACACACACACTCAAGTGTTCCTGAATGCATTTGTCCCACTGACTCCAGCATTACCTAAAAATATCTTAGCAGGACTGCAGTGTTGGGCTTTATTTTCATAAGAGTTTGGCTAAATGGGAAGTTTGGTCTTTATATGCTACATGACACTATGAGTCTAAACACACTTTACTTGTGACCCAGTCACACTGAATCAGAGTAAATTGAATTTATGGTTAAGCAATATTTGGGAATGAAGCCCAGCATAAAGTATTAGGTCAAAAGTGTTGTGAACTTCACAGCTGTCCTGTCAGTCTTTTGAAAGTGTTAGAATGCTAGATAATGCACACTTTCTGGAAGGTAATTATTTCTTACTGTTCCATCCTGCATGTGCAAAAGGTTTATATAGAACTTCTTTTTTACCTCAATATCTGAAATCCTGTCTTGTATGCAGTGTACCAATGGACAAAACATACTGAAGTTTTTAAGGAAAGCAAATAGTCATAAATATATAAATGGAGGGGGTGGGTGGGGAACACTGAATAGGTTATGTTTGGCCTTGCTGCCAAGCTATTAAAAAGAGAGGTCATGGAAAATTGACAATTTCTGGTGTGGTTGGTACAACATGTTTCACATGCAAAATGCTGGTTCATTGTAAGCGCCCTACAGATACTCTAAAGAGCACTAATTTATCCTCGGAGACCACCGAATAAGTCCATTCCCAGGGCTTGTAGAGATGTGTGGGGATTTTGTGTGTGTCTGTACTGTGACATGTAGTCTTGTCATTGTTATGAATTGTTATGTGGAAGTGATTTATTTTGTACAGTTGAATTTATTTATTTTTTATTTTTAGTTATCCAACATTTTCCCTCAGAGTACAGAACACACCAAAGAAGAATATTGATAATTTTGGTGATAGGTTGTTTATAAATCTGTGGTTGTTTGTGGGGGGGCTGGAAAGGTCATTATATTTTTCAAGTTACTTGAATGAGCAATGTAATGTGAAAAAGCTCCTTCCCACATGTCTCCTGTGCAGTGTGTTGGTGATTCAATATAGTTTATAGAGATATTTGTTCCTTAGTACAATGCATGGTGCTGTCAGTCTGGAAGCCTTTAAATGTCCTGGCCATATTGCTATATGAACAGGAAAGGGGACATTCCTTTTAATATCTATAGCTATAAATATATAAATGAGAACTTGAATACAAACCACTTTAAAATCGTTTTATTTGCTTTACATTCCTTTCTTCAAAACCCATTCAAATAATAAGAAATAACAGTGACTCAAGGCATTTTAAAGGATAAGTTATATTTTGAGTATTTTGATTTTGGAAAATTTCTCACTGGTTTTAAAAGAATTGTTTAATTTATATATTTTTATTCTCTCCCTCCCCACAAAATAGATTGCACTATCCTCATATTTTGTTTGATGTGAACAACCGAATCTCTTCAAGGAAATACATTTACTAGGAAGCAGATACTTGCACCAAGTTTATGTGGTTATCATTTGGGGTTGCCACAAGTGGCAGGCTCTTTCTCTACTGTGCCATAGCTTCCCCACATATTTTTGGAACATACAATACCTCCTTCATATCTGTAAGCCTGGTTCTAAGAAAGCAAGAATGGTTGAAGTAAAATAAAAATATTCTTCTTATATCAGACTTGTGCTTTATTGTGTGGGGAGAAATTAAGGGGCAGGCTGACATCCCACCCATCACAGGCCATCAGGCAAAGCTTTACCTTCAACAACGTTTTACTCCTTGGATGGAAAATATTTGTAGAAAACAAATTATGTACAGATTTTTCTTTATTTTTAATCCTGTAGGCCTGCCTCCATGAGGAATTCAAAACCTATCTTTTTACTCATCAAAATCATGATAAATCAGCCCACCAAACTAAGAAGGTGAACATATGCAGCAGAATTTGAAGGCCAGGCTCTTCACTACAAAATAGGGAAAGGCTGTTCGACCTTGTAGGATACTGTATGTGCGCATCTGTGTGGGCAGATTCAGACAGAGTTCTGTTACCCTGTTGGAACACCGTAGTCTAACACACACACAGCATTGTCATATTTTTCTGTGAACATCTTTTTTAGGTCTATGCACCTTCTTAATGAACTGAAATAGAAACCAAGAAAACCAGACCTAAATCTGTTCCGAATTATTCCAATCACAGAGGAGGACAACCTCTGATAAATCCCTTTAAAGGAATATCTTTAAATGCCAAGTGATTTGGTCAATCTGACCGAAGTATGCTAACCTTTATGAATCTCTTCCATACAGCCTTGTTTATAGCCTTTTCAACAGAGAATGAGTTAAAGCTGTGATACAGACATAGCAGGTAACTTCGATGAGGAAGACAGATTTGGGATGGGCGGCGTGTGCTGTCCTTCTCCACATTTGTTCCACTCCCGAAAAGGTCAGCCCTATTTCTCCCCCTTGCCTCAGAGCAAATATTATCGTGTTTTTGCCCCCAGCTTTGTGAAAACGGGCCTAAAGTGAAACAGGTTGCAAAAGTTTGGAGGAGAGGACTAAGGCCCATTTCAATAGGGAAACGGATTGTGGGGGGGGGGGAGCTCTTCAATCGGCACTCCAGTCAGAGCAGGGCTGAGGAAAGAGGACTTACCGCTCTCTTAATGGAGTTACTGGTGAAAAGGGGGAGCACAACCCCCCACATGAATCATTCATGGGAAATATACCGAAGATGCATGATAACAACGAGGACCCTGAAACAAGTTTCCCCCTTCTTGTCTTCTGCCTTCCAACGCCCCCCCCTCCCGCTCCCGGTGCGCGCCCAGCCCGCGGCCCCCGCCCGGTCTATGGAGCTGGACCTGACCGCTGCCCGCCTGGTGCCCCTGCGGAGTAATTTGGTGCGGAGCGGAAGGCCGGCGCTTGCACAAGCTTCCTGGCGCGTTCAGATTGCTCTGGCGATTGGCAAGCGAGGCTCAGAGCAGAGCCACTTCTGGACCCCGAGCGGGCCTTCTGCAAAGGCCTGATCTCTCCGCGGCGCGGCGGGCGGCTCGCTCGCACGAGGCCTGGGATCAGCCGCGATCCACGTTGGCCCGCGCCACCGGTCGGGGGGGGGGGGCGTCGCGCTGACGGTGAGGATCGCCAAGCTCTGCACGCGTCTGCGTTGCTGGTGTTGTCTGGGGTTTCCCTTGCTGTGTTTGGGCGACACTTTTTCTACGCCGCATCGGCGCCTCAGGGAAACCACGCCTGGAAGAGGGAGCAGTCTGGGGAGCGGGAGCGGATTGGGGGCGCTGCATTTCACACGCGGTGACTCGAGGGTGTTCAGTGGCTCCCAGCTCTGTGCAGGGCACTTGCTTCCAAGTAATACCCGGCCAAAGCTTTTTAGCTTGGATGAACCCCTCCGTGTTCCATGGCCCTTGCTCTGCCCACTGCTGGCTGAGTGTGCTGGTGGGGACGCACCCGAGGCATCTCCGTGGCACAAACACAGGACGTCCATTCAAGGCGTTGGGACATAAGCTACTGGGTATCTTTGGGATAATTCATGCACCGTGCCATATTTATGCCCGCTTCCTGGACACGCGCAGGTGGATCATTTGAGTCCGTGAATCCTGTGCGCGGGCCACGGCCCTCCCTCCTCAGGGTATCTCGCACACAAACCCTTGCGGTGGCGTCGGCTCCCATGATTAGCTGAGAAGCATTTTGCTCCTGGATGGATGTTAGCAGCACTGACGTGCGTGCTAGTGAGCAGGCCACCACGAGCGTCCCATATCAGCTCAGGCATAATGCCTTGAACTTGAGTCCGTTCTCTCGGATGCACAGAACATGGTGGCGGGCATGCGCTTAGGAGCCCATCCAAGGTTCGACACATCCACCCAAAGGGATATTTGATACAACGAGATGCCAGGAAGAGATGGATACTTCACAAATTCATCTACGCAATCTCTGTCCTTCTTGTTGCTGCTGCCTGACGATGAAGTCACTTGTTGCAGTTGAAAGGAGAGGAACTCAAGCAAGAAAAGGCTGCAATACAATCGAAGTGTCTGGAA